TAAATTGGCATTGTATAATTTTGATGGAAAAATGTGTATCAGGATGTTTACTTGCTAAAGAATCTAATTTAAACAACCATGTGTATGGTTACTTCAAAATGCCAGTCATTTGATATAAATAAGAAACTCAGTCATGCTGGTTAGGTGGAAAGTACCTTGGAATGCTTTAAACATAATGAAACAATCTACCAAAACATATACTACATCCTAGTCTTTCTTTACATAATATAGCATGAAGTCATGATGCTTTTGAAACTCTGTGCAGAAATATTTATTTTTTAGCAACTATTTTCTTCAAAGATTGGTATGTGGTATTGACAGTGTAATCTACTTGCACAACTAGTTTTGCAATAATGTTCTAGAAATAATTGTAAATAAGAAAAAAATGTAAATTTCATGTAAAAATGGTTGTAATTTTTGGTAGCTAACAGAAGTGTACAAGTTGTATTGAAGATATAGAAAATATATATATATAAAATGTAAGAATGAAGTACATAATTTCTGATCTATTTATACATGAAAAATTCAAGAATTTGTAAAAGAAATTATTTTGGGAACAAAGAAAGTAAAACTCATTAGGAAGTTAGGATACTTTTATTAGAAATGTCAACTCTTTGCAACACTTTATAGGTACAGTACTAACTATAGGCATGGTGGTGCTGATGTATTTATTGAAATCACATAACTGTAACAGTGATAGAGTTTTACTACATTTCATCAAGACACTAACAGGCCAGACTAAGTGGTTAAAATCACTGAATCAAAATTTAAGGAAGTATAAAAACATTTCTCATTACTGCCAATCAAGAACACAAGGACTTACTAAAACATTTCCTTTTTGGTCCTTAAAAACCCTAATGGTTATCTGGGCTTTAACTTACACATGAAGTAAGTTTATGATATTCAATTAATTGTCTCCTTTTACCAAGAATGAAAACATTCAGGTAACCTAAAATAGGTTTTTCATTTACCCAAGTTCCATTTCCTTTTCATTAATTCCCTAAAATTGCTCAACAATTCTTACAGGAGAAAAAAAATGATCTTCAAAGAAATTTCTTAATACAATTTGATGATGTTAATATAACTTCTAAACTAAGGGTTTTGTAGTCAGCCTAATAGTTTAGATTCCTCACACTTCATTTTTCATAGACTAAAAATTTTAAAACAGCAAAACATTTCCTTATGGAATGAGAAACCAAACCAAACACAGATTAGCAGAAAGAACGATATCATTATCTAAAGCAAAGCTGACTGCAAAGTAAGAAACTAAGTATGGAAAGCTAAACATTGAAAAACACTGATATCTTGTTATAAGATCAACTGGGAGATTCAGTAGATACGGGAAATTAAATATGAATACAAGAGTTTACTTAAGCCAGAAGTAGTTTTTAAATTGTCAATTTCAAAACAGAGCCCTAGTGGAAGAGTGGTTAGTAGTTTGGCTACTGTTAACACCCTCTAGCCATTCTGCATAAGATAAGGCAGTCTGCAACAATATTGATTTATAGGCTTTGAAACTCAACAGTGTAGTCCTACTCTACCCAATAGTTACTAAAAAGAAACCGATTCAATGTGGCAGCAAGTTTCAATTTTTTTTATAAAAAATAAGTCTTTAATTAGTATGTTTCTGGATCATGCATGCATATATACTGTTCATTTTATCCTCTGAATTTTCAGTAAATATGACCAATAATACAATCAACTTAACAAGTAAATGACTACATGCATATATACATAAATATTTTTATGCTTAAGGGAAATGTCCCCCACCTAAAAAATATATCAGAAAAGGGAAAAAAGATCATTCTAGACCTATGCTGTCTCAGAACAAAGCTATTAAAGGATGTCCTGTCCTCTCCCCATTCTTTCCATTGTCCACAGTTTTCCTAACTGCCACCAGTTTTCATGTTAACAAAAAAGGGCACAGCTAAAAACAAAATTAGCACACAGTAATGTATAAGTATTGCCAATTTACAATATATACATAAACAAAGAAGCACACTTGACTATAAATGCTTGCAAAACATATAGCAGTGCACAGAACCAAGCTACTTTGAAAAAGAAAATGTTATAAAGCTTTTTGTCACATGCCACTTATACATATTTTTAAAAGAAGGAAATAAAATAGAGCAGGAAAAGAATAAAAGCACAGATTTCCCAGAATTAAAATAATGAGTAGATACAAACTCAGAAATTATTCAAGCATATTCCAGTGGTTCGCTGGAAGTAATTTTGTACTTGGTATTCTAAATGACAAAAAAAAAATTCATTTAACATATGGACATTTGTGATGGCAGAAACTTCTTCTAGGCTACAAATAATATGAACACTACTTATTTACTATTCTGTCTGTACTCACTGAATAACAGAAGTTCTAAATATTTTTTCTTACATCATCTAATATTATTTAGGAATGCTAGGCATACTCTTAGGTGATACCTAAGCATTATACATTTACTTGAAAGTTTACTAATTCACTAGGTAAGTGAATGAAATTAAACAAACTGTTTCCAATCTTTTAACACACATTTCAATTTAATATTATATTCATGATTACATTTTTAAATGAAAATTAAAAGAAAGATATGGAAACCTGAATGAAGTCTTCAATTTTATTCACGAGAATTATGTGATCATATTTTGACTAGCATTTTCCTATTAGCTTATCAGAATACTACCATAAGGGGGTAGGAGAAAACATATCATTCACAAGTATGTTAAAGATAAAAGACAAAAGACAAAAGCATATTTCTGATAAATAGTGTTTATTTGTCCAATTAAGGAGTACCACACAGATTACAATGAATTTGATTAATATATTTTATTAAAATAATTAAACTTATTTTTTGTTATGTTTTTTAATTGCACAGACTTTAAAATATATTAGTAAATTCTACTTTCTTCCAGGATAAATGCCTTTTCTGAAAATAAACATGTAAGTTAACTATATTTTTTTCTTTTACATTTTTGCTGAATACAAGTTTAAATAGATAAATGAGCACAGTCATTAATGATATTTAAAGTGAATCAACTTAAGATTGCCCATAGTATTGATTTCTCCTTGCTGTAATTTAAAAGATCTAACTGCCACTTGAAATAGAAGTGCAATACCTGACATTTAATCATCTGGCAGTTTTTTAGACTTAGGTGTATCACTGTACTGTTATTTGAACTGAAGCATCTCATAATATATATGTAATAGATTTTGTATAATATAAAACTTTACAGCAAGCTATTTGAATGTTTATTAAAAAATTCTCAAAATGACATGGAAACTTGTTTACTGTATAAATAAAAGCGCTTATACATTAAAAGTGTACATTATTTGATACTTTGCAATATCATCAGACAACTGGGGCTCAGGTTAATCACCACAAGCTTCCAAATATTATTCCTATTTCAACCATTTTTTATCATAAAACTATGAAAATATTTTATCTTTAGTAATGGATGTTTATCTGTATCCATTATTTTGAAAGCACCTGGAGAATGACTTTCAGTATAAAAATACTGTTAGAATTATTCTCTATATGTAATGATTTTATAAGATTGTCTATATCATGTTAAACAAAAAGAGTCACCTATTAAAATGGATCAGCATGGAATTAGTTCTCTATTAGATAAAGGAGTTCTGTAGTCAAAAACAGATTAGAGGAAAGAAAAGGGACCAAGAAAATTAACCCCAATTTAATTTATTCTACACAGTTTGAATCGCTGTCCATGAGAGAAAGATGGGCAATCCTCTCCCGTTGTGATTAACTGCCTCTGAAAACTCACCGTAAGGTTGGCTACGAGTTGGCTCGAACTTGATGGCACACAACTACTTTAATATGGCAGTGAGCTTTATCAGGCTCTGAGAGGAAGTTTCTCAAATATATTTGGCCATCTCCTTCACAAATCTTCTATGACCATCTTTTGGAATAATCTCTAGAAGTAGATACTTAAAGACTTGTATAAAGAGTGTGAATATAAAGTCTTACTTGGCAGAAACACATACTAATAACATAATGTGCCTTCAACTATGAGAATTTCAAGTAAGAAAAAGTACCATAATCAACCTGAGAACAGTAAATGCCTGGGTCTTTAATCTAGAAGTTAGAATTCCAGGTTGATGATCCACAATATCACCCTTATTCAATATGAAAGACCTAGTAGTGTGACTAGCATTTGCTTTATCTTATAATTGACTTGAATTAAAAGTAAGTATTTTTATGGCTCAGTTCAGGTCCACTCACATTATCAAATGTGTTAATAAAAACCTTACATTTTCTTTCACATTATCAAACACATGATCATGAAGAAAAATTATTGAGTCAAAGAGGAAAAAAAAATCACTCACTTATAAAACTAACCATGTAAATTTTACTGCCAATTATATAAAATGATCAATATCAAAATAGTGAAACCTTACTTCTTTCCAGGATTCTGAAAAGCAATGCCTTTTGTAGTCATATTTCACTACAGATTAATATATGGTCAAACTAAGAATACTTAGTAAAATTTTTTTCTTCATAAGCAAAAACCTATGTGGTTCTGTTTTTTTAATTACATGACAAATGAATAATAAACATGGCATGAAATCTAGGTTTCCTCCCTTCTAGCTGGGCCTAAATATCAACTACAAACAAAGATATGTATTCTCTAGAAAAGTTTAACTTTGTTTATATAGACTTTCATCTTTCTACTTCTTAATCTGTTTTGTAAGTATATTGCCCTTAGTTTACATTAAAAGTTCAAGTTAAGAAATATTTATATTAATTAGGTATATTGCATTATGCAGTTATCTATAAAATGATACTTTTCCAACATGCAAAAATATCCCAAATACAGAGACATCTTTTTTAATTGCATGAAATATGCACTAAGGTGAAAATGCATATAGAGAGAAGAGCTTTCACAGGGAAGAAGATGGAGAAGGCTCCAAAGCTTTAATTGAAAGTAGTCCCGTTTATCCACATAGAAGAATTCACAGTATTTCTCTAATTTTCAAACACTGATATTCAAATTGCCATAGTACCCTGCAAAAACTAAAACAAGCAAAATCATCAGGTTAAAAGCAATCGTATGGCATGAGAAAGAAATAGCTTTTTTAATGTCATAAATTAAAATAAAACAAGTATTGTCATGCATACAGTCTTGTTTATAAGAGGGACAGCATTTTTTACCATTAAAAATAATATGGAAAATGAGCTGACAAAATGTAACAGAAACTTTTAAAAAGTTTTTATTTCTAACATACAGTCAAAAATGTATTTTGTACTGATTGCAAATCTTGCATATGTGTTCAGCTTAAAATAGAGAGAATATTCTATAAAATATATTACTCTTAGGTGTGTGGTTCAAATCCACCAGATGCTCTGCTGGAGAAGGAGGGACAATCTCCTCCTTTACCAGTCAGACTCCTAGTACAAATACTATGGAATCCTAATATTTTTTGTAATAAAAAAAAAATTATATATACACACACACACACACACACACACACACACACACACTCTAAGTGAGTCCCATACGGACAAATACTGGATAAGACCATTATTGTAAAATAGATAACTAGTAAAACAGGTATGAGGATCCAAAGGGGGGGGGAGTAGGAGGGGTGAGGATGGGGGTGGGGGAGAGTTAATCACAGGGTTGCACAATTTGATAGGTACAGGGAGGAGTGGGTAAAGGAAAGGGGAAAGAAAAACAATGTATATAAACTTGTAAAAAAAAAAAGTATAAAAGAAAAATTTATTTTTTAAAAGAACCCACAAAAAATAAGCATATACAATATAAGTATCTAAAGGGTTAAAGAGTATGCTCACTCACATCGTCATACAGGAAATTCACAAACCCTTGCTGCAAGTGGTCTCTCCTCCTAAAGAAATCTTGAAACAAAATGTTTAAAAAGAATTTAAAATTTATAGTTTCAAATGTTTGGTGTTCCAAACTCAAAAACTCATTGCTGTCAAACTGGAGATGACTCAAAGCTAACCCAGGTTTCCAAAGCTGCAAGTCACAAAGAAGATGGCCCATCATGCTCTCGCAGGGCCGTGGGCGGGTCCAAACCTCCAGAGAGGTGAAGTCTTCATGTCAGCAGTGCCCCATCTACAAACTATGCCCCTAAAACTCCCCTGTCATTAAACAATAAATAACTTCATATTCTATTAAATCTTAAATTAGTTAATCCCAATTAGACATGAAGAAGACTTTTCAAAATTGGGCTATAACGCTTTTCATGATTTATATTCTTTTTTTTTTTTTTACATTACAAACCTGTGTTTTATTCTCAGAAATTTATGTGGTTTTTTTAAATTTTTTATCATGATTTATGTTCTTACATGACTAAAGCTCTGATTAGATATATAGATAAAGAAAATAATAAATACTATTGTAAACATGAGCAAGCTCTGGTTCTTTAATGTTAAGGGGTTGAGCTGCCAACCCAAAGCATGAAGTTCTAATCTACCAGTTGTTCTGCAGGACAGAGATCTCCTCCCATGCAATTTACCACCTCTGAAAACTTTCAAGGATCAGCTAAGAGTCAACTTCTGACTCATCAGTATGTAACAATAACATTATAAACATAATGAGGAAAATTAAGGACTACTTTTTTAAAAACCAGCTAGAAAATACGGTATCCATTTTAAAATGGCAAATACCTGTCAATGCTCGAAGCTTAACACAGCAAGCAACATAATCATCAAAGAAGATCCTGCCATTCTTGCTGTAACGTCTAACAATAGCAGTTAATGTCTGAGGACTTAATCTATAACCTAAAAACAAAAGATGGATAAATTAAACCTTCCAAAACTAATCAGCATAAGAACAGTCCAATACTGCATTCTCTATAATAAAGTTGTTAAAGCAATTAATTTCAAATTCATTTTGAAAAAAAAAAGTTGCACCTTAGAAACAAAATACTGAAAAAGAAACCAATCAAAGGCTTCACTATTAATATAGTTAGGTGAAACTTAAATATCACAATCTTAGCATTCTAAAAAAGTTGGAGGTGAGGAAAAGATAATAATTAACTTCTTGTTCATTTATAATACCTTTTGATTTTGGCATATCTAGGATATTTCATGTTTAAATGCTTCACTGCTTCAATTCTGTAACTCTACTCAACCCATTGCCTTGAAGTCTGAACTGACATACAGTCAAGTCTGAACCAACTCATAGTGACCTTCCAGCAGCTTTTCAGTGGCTGTAAGAAGAGACTGCTCACTTTTCTCCCAAGGGGAAGGTGGTAGATTCAAATTGCCTGCCTTAGGGTTGGCACACAAGTTCTTAGCCACTAGACCACCAGAACTCCCTGAATTCTATAACTGTAGATTTTTAAAAGCATTTCAAAGGAAAATATTACTAGCAATTTGTTAACTTTCAAATAAATTTCCACTGACTATATAATTTGTAAAAATCCTCTACCGCCAAAGAATATCTGAGGGTAATTTTAAGAAAGAGGCTAATTTTGTTTGTGTTCTGTAATTCTTACTCTATTTCTTCATACACTATATCCTTGAGAGCTTGTTTGGAGAGCCTAGCAGGGGAGCACAGCTACTCTTGACCGAAGGACAGTCTTCCTTCTTTCAGGGATGGTCGTCCTCTTCAACTGAGCACACAGCTTCAGGAGGGAAGCACATGGATCGGTGAGGGAGGCAGGGGACATCCGCCTAGCCAGCAGATCAGCTGATTCAACACTGGCAATCAATGGGGTGACAGACGTCGCAGCCAGATCACCCTCACATCCCACATACTTTATCCTAACACAACCTTCCCATTATTTCTTGGATTCTGTATTGTTCAGTCTTTTGGGCTCCAGACATTTTTGAGAATGTATGCAAATACAAAGGAGGAACAGTTGTAAGCAGACCCTAGTGATTGGTACATGGAATGTGAGAGCCATGAATGTGGGAAAATTAGAAATTGTTAAGAAAGAAATGGAACGCATAAACATTGACATATTAGGCACTGGGGAGATGAGATGGACTGGCATGGGGCATTTTGAGTCAGATGACCATATCTGGAGATGAAAAGACAAGGAAAAATGGGGTTGCCTTCATAGTAAAAAAAAGTAATTTCTAGATCCATCTTGAAGTACAACATTGTGAGTGACAGGATTATATCCATATGCTTACAAGGAAGTCCAGGGAATACCACTATCATTCAGATATATGCACCAACAACCAGAGCCAAAGAAGA